GAACTTTTAAATCATGTCCGGAGGGCCATCATAGTGGCAGGAGTGTGTGGTGCAAATTTCACCCAAAAACATTGAGAGACACCAAAGTTACGGTCAATTGAATGCCATATGAAATTTACGACTGGGCTGCTACATGTACCTTATAATAAGCTCCGCCGACCACATATCTCGGCTTCATAGCTCCGTGGCATTCAATTGACAGTAACTTACTTTGGTGTCTCTCAACGGATTTGAGTGAAAATTTCACCACACACTCCTGCCACTATGCTGGCCCTCTTGACATGATTTAAAAGTTCTTGCGCCTCACTGACAGGCTTTCCAGGCCGCAAAAACTCAACATACCGGCATAGTGCCACGCTGTGCGAGTCACCCAGTAGCAAAAAAATGCATTTACCATTTTTCACAGTTTCTTGCCCATTCTGTCCGTAAGCGGGACCCAAACCTAAAAAAGGTCCAGAAGCAGCCATGGGTGGTGGGATAGGGCCCCTCAACGCGGCCCTGGAATCTGTCACAACGGCACGAGTGGGCGTTCTCTCACCGACTCCCACAGACCCAAGTCAATTTTTGATTTTATTTACGTTTAGGGCGTGCTACGAGGTCGTACCTTTGATACAACATCCAGAGCTGGGACCTCCACAGCAAGCCATTTCCACAGCGATGCAAACCAATTCCAGGATACTCTCGAAAATCGGCAAAGACTACCACTCACGTTCCACTACTGCCTAGTACTGAAACTTACCTGACTTAGTGACACGACTCAAACTTGCCAAAGTCACTAATCAACGTCAACTACCAGAATCAAGTCACATATCTGCAAAGTCACGAGGGTGCTGGCAAAAGTCCTGCCGCCGTGCAGTCCAATACATGGCTAAAAACGCGATTTTTGGACTTGGAGCAAAATTCTTCACACTTTTGCGTCAGGAGATAGTGTATGAGGCCACTGCAGAATCTACCAGCAAGATTTACATCGGTCTTTCAGAGACGCCTTTCAAAGCCCGTCACGCCAACCACCTGACCTCCATGCGCCATGAAAAATACAAAAACAGCATGGAGCTCGCAAAACACGTATGGGAACTCGAGAGCCAGGGAAAACCGTTGACGATTACACGGAAGGTGCGGGCGAGGAGTGGATCATACAGATGTGAGTCAAAAAATCCAATCTATGCACCGCGGAAAAATTCCACATCCTGACTACACCCAAGAAGCTCCCGCTCAACAAGCGGTCTGAGATGATCTCGAAATGCAGGCATGAGAATAAGTTCCGCCTCGCAAATTTCACACCTATCAAATGAACTGACCAAGTACTGTACTGCACTTTGCCCCTGAACCACAATAATAACACAATCCCTTCTTTTCGCGCAGTTCACTTCCCCAACTGATCCTTTGTATTTGAAGTTCTCCCAATCCTTTCAAAAATTATAGTTATTCTTATTAAATTTTTGATAGGGCAATCCAACAGGCCTAAGGCCTTCTTACAGGGTACCTTATATGTGCCGATACAAGGTAGTTGGAAAGGAGAAACAGATGTGCAAAGGCGAATGTCAGCAGGTAGAGAGTTCCAACAATCTGAGCCTAGAAATCTAAGAGAAAAGACCATACCGATTTGAAGCAGCGGGAAGAGTAAGGGCTTTAGAAACTTGAGAGCGTGTGCAGGAGTTTGTGTGTGACGATGCACTGCGCAACGAAAAACAGCTAGAGAGTAGGGAGCTTTCTAGATCATTTAGTGAAAGGAAAATAGGAACAAAAAATCTGAGCTGGTACGGAGCGGCCAGTGGGAGTAAATGGTTGCGTTTTTTCTAGTGCACTGATGCTGTTGAAGCGAGTGAGGTTGAACACCGTGCGCAAGGCACTACTCAAGCGAACCAGGCGCTCATATTGACGCTCACGAAGGCAGTGAGAAAACGCATTCGACCCATACTCGAGGCGATGTGGGCACCATTGTAAGGTGTTCATCCCAAATGATTCCAGGGTAGATCTACTTCACTTCAGGCAAAGGGGCAATTGAGGTGTTGTTCAGTTGACGGCTAACGTCAGGGGTCAAAGGTGTGAACTTCGACCTGAAGATTATGAACTGAGTCTTGTCCGGATTGAGGCAGAGACCTCGTGCAGCCAGGAAATCACGAACAATGGTAATAATATCCTCAGCGAGATCGAGTGTGAGTTGGTTTAGGTCCTTGCTAGCTTTGTAGAGGGAAACATCGTCTTCGTATTGCCGTGCCTTCCAGTGCTTCGTTTCAGAGGGAAAATTGCGAACTTATATAAAGAGGGCCCTTGCGGCACACCTCTGTTTACTGCGTATGTGTCTCCCTGTGCTGTCTTCTTGACGACACACTGTTCCCGGTTCTGTAGGTACGTAAGGAACCAGTGCAAAGCTGTACCTCCAACAGCTTTGAGCTTGTTCCTTACGTACCTAATGTCTCAATCAAATGTTCGGCCAGAGCCATCATCAGGATCCTCATGATGGCTCTGGCCGCAAATTGGATTGAGATAATTATTAGGAATTTACAGCTATGCAAACTATTTATTTTTTTATTTTTTATTCCAAACAATACATTGGTGGTGTAGCCAATGACACTTGGCGTGGCGATTGCAGGGTTTTTATAGGCAACCACGGCTATTGATTTGAGGATGTTTTGTGTAGGTTTTCATGTAAGATCAGTCTCTAAAAGTACATACCTTACTCCGCGAACAGTGTTGAGTTGAGCTGTCACCTGCTATACCTCCACTTAGTTCACTGTCTCTGTTCGAGCTCTAAGCGCATTGGACCAATTGGTCACCCATGGGGTACTAACCAGTTTCAGACCAGCCACAGCTGTATGCGCTACGTATGAAAGTTTTGCCGATCACAAATATCGCTTCCCTTCATCAATGTAGACAATATTGAGCTTCCTGGAAAGCGCTGGAAAATCGATAGCATACCTTTACAATTTTCACCAGCCACATAACAAGTACACTGGGGCTACTCGTAGTCTAGGGAGACACACCAAACACTGCAGATGCAATTTATTTGCAAACTACCTGGTGATCTGCAACATGTGATTTAGTCGGCGGAGACATCTTTTGTAGCTGGAGCTGGAGCGCTAAAGAAAAGCCTCCGCCCCGGGTAGTGTCATTCCATGGATTTGAGCGTCTGTTGCAAAACAACATAAGGGAGAGGATCCATGCCTGACTTCACAGTGTGGCCGCATGCGAGATGATGAATTCGCGGGATTGACACTTCCTGTTGAAGTCCAAGTTTCCTGTAGGACCGCCCTCGCGTCGACACAAATAAGGGTGGATCGTGATCCGAATCACTGGAGCTGACAGCTGACCACTTTCTGATGCGGATTGAACTTTTCATCCCCAAATTCGGTCCAGCGAAAGCCAAGTTACCAGAATTCCTGAAACAACAAATCAAAACCTCATACACACAACTAACCAACAACAAATGGTCCACCCCCTCCAGGCCGCCACTGATGGCGTTCTGCAGTGGGTTAATTCAGTCGGAGGGTGCTTCAACCCTTCGAAGTCTTGCACCATGCAGTTCTCTCTTAGAAGTCGTGCAGAACGTGCCCACCCTACTCATCCGACTCCGCACCTCAGAATGCAGGGAGATGACGTGTCTGATGTAATGACTCACCGACACCTTGGGGTCATCTTGGACTCTAACCTCGACTTCACCAATCACGTCGCCACCATCACGACAAAGTTTCGCCAGCGAGCAGTCCTGCTGATCCACATGACCAAGCGTATCACCCCAGCCGTAGCCAGCCGCTTGTACACTGGATATGTTCGACCTGTGGTTGAATACGCCTCATCCCTCTGCCAATTTCAACTCTCCAGTGCTCGGGCTACTACCCTTGAACGGCTACAGGCAAGAGTGGCACGTGTGATCCTGAGGAAGTATGGCCTGTACCCTTCTCAAACGGAGCCGAAAGCCTCACTTTTCGCGCACCTCCAGTGGCCCAGCCTCGCATGGCGAAGACACATTCAGTGCCTTCTTGAGCTCCACCACCTTATCAATAGCCAGATGACGACCCTGGAGGACCTAGACTACTCAGTGTCAAACAGCACCAGGCGCCCCCAACATCTACTCCCACCTGCTAGAGCCAGCACACACACCCGTGCCACCTTTCTCTTTGTCACCACTGCCACATGGAACTCCCTCCCGGCTGCCATTCGTACTGTATCCAGCCCAAAATGTTTTACCGCTCTTGTCCGCACACACTTTTTCTGTCACCCGTTATGAGCCCTCTGGTTTCTTTCCACGTAGAGTAGCGATATCATAGAGCACTGTGTTGTATTACTACCACCCCGCATCATTCGATTTCCTATTTTTATTTTTCTCCTCAGCTTCTTCTTCATAAGCTGTTGACGGAGACTCCCTCGATTTAGGCTAAGGCCTGTGGAGAATCCATAAATACAAATTTTTAATACAAATACCAAAAATACAAATACAAATAATCACAAAGGTAAATAAGCCCATATCCTCTTGATAATTACTATACATGTACAATCATGTACTGGTACATGGAGGTTTACAAAAACAACACACTAAGGCAAGGGTGCAGATAACCACAATCGCGCGATATGTTGCCACAACAATGCAACGAAGGGAGGAAATAATTTTTCATTGGAAAGTTGCTGAAGAATCTGCAAACTATTGCGAACGTCGCAACCTCCATTTACTCCCCAGCGGTTAAAGCCATGAATGGTTCGACCTATTTGCGACCTGACGCATTTCACACAAATAGCGACGGACTGGATAGAATCGCTAAAATCTGTCGGCAGGCAGGTAATCAATCTCTTTCTGTCCGAAGAAACCAGAAAGGCTGGGCAGAGCCATATCTCCAAGTCCACTAAAATTCTGCAGAGAGATTTCCGCTGGCGTCTACAACAAACATGTAATGGTTGCACAACTTGCGGACTCCTTGGAACTGGAAGACACCTCAAAACGGGCCCAAATGAAGACTGAATTTTGGGACCAAAAGCAAGCGCTCGTACAGCGTGCACAACAGAACTGTATTGCGAAAACTTTTATAAATTTCAAGGGCGATAATGGAGACGACATACGGCGTTATTGACAGACAGACGGACAGAAACTATTTTTTTACCTTACGATGTTGAGATCCAGTGAATAAAAAAGGAACAAGAGTACATTATTAGAAACTAGAAGATAAAAGTGGAAAGAGTGAGAACTTGCACAGAAGAGCCCTCAGATTGAGAATGTGCAAGAAGAGGAGAATGGGGATAACTATTTTACTGTTAGAGTTATACTCAGTTACCGACTGAGGTTTCCGCATGTGTAGGAACGCCATCACCCTGAAGGATGAAGGCGCTGATGTAGCTTCTGAAGCGGTTGGAGGTGAATAGATCGGACCCAACACTCAGTGGTCAAAGACCAAAAGTCCCATCCGGTGCATCCATGAGAATTATGCAGAGACTATAATCACAGTTCGCGTGATACTAATCTGGAGACCAAATTGCCGCATTCGTAGGAATGCTATCACCCTGTATGGATCAAGGCACAGATGCAGCTTCTAACGTTAAAGCATGAGAATAAAGTGAGTATTTGAATCGGCTTTAGAGAATTACAGGATCACTCTACTAATGATGGTGTGTGTGAGCCCAGAACAACTGTGAGTTACAGGAATGCTGGTTTATGATACACTTGATTCGTTAAACAAGGTCTTTCAACTTCTGAAGATGCTGCAGAAGGTGGCCAGGCAGTGACTTCCATGGGGCATTTCCACAGCACGCGACCGGGTACATGGCAATGTTTAGTGATGAGGAAGGCAGAGGTGATGAGATTCGAAAATGTTCAGATGTATCACTTAGAGAATGTGCATTGAGCGGGATCTGACGGCCTAGGCACATTTGGGTGCCCTTCGTTGTGCTGAGCACGTGTGCTGTCACGTGTGCTGTCACGTGTGCTGTCACGTGGCTGTTCCACGTCACATGTGGAAAGTTCCTGTGTAACTTGAGGTTCGGTGATGCTTGGTTGGTCCCGATCATGTGAGGGAGAGGATGCAGGGATAGAGGGAGAAGGAGAGGGTTGGCGGAGAGAATGAGAGTAAGAGGGTTGGTAGATAGAAGGAGAATGAGAGGGTTGAGGAATTAAGGGAGAGGGTTGAGGGATGGAGGGAGAAGGTTCAGGGATAGAGCGAGAGTGACAGAATTGTCGAAAAGACTTCGGAATTGGTTGACTCACAGGGAAGGAATTACATTCCGGTAATCCTTGGTATAAGGGTTTCCAGAGGGAGGGAGAGTGATAATGTTCAGGGATAGAAGGAGAGTGAGAGGGTTGGTGGATAGAGGAAGAGTGAGAGGGTTGAGGAATTAAGGGAGAGGGTTGAGGGATAGAGGGAGAGTGACAGGATTGTAGAAACGACTTCGGAATCGGTTGACCCACAGGGAAGGAACCACATCCCCGTGATTTTGTGTACATCATAAGGTTTGGTGCTGAAGACCATTTATTCATATCATAAAAGTCATCTCGGGGATTATCCACTGGACAAGGAGCTGATCTGCGGCGTTTTACGCATAGTGCTATTAGGAAAGTTACGAGTGTACCCAATAGCGTGGCAAGGATTAGCTCGTGCCGATACTGCTGCTGCTGCTGTTCGGTACATGACTGGTGTTTAGTGCTGACGTCATAGCTGGGGACTACGCGGTACCTGTGGGGCTGGACAAGATACACAAACGTTTAAAAAATCACTATAGCGACAATCAAGAGTACTAATTGTGCGTTATTATTATCAGGACCTTCTTCACGCTGGCAACAATGCAATATACATGTTCACAGCATGCTCAACCGGACAGAACTGTTTCGTCCTTTGTGGACTCGTCAGCGCAGCACAGAGGAAATGAGGCCGAACCTGATAGCAATGGAAATAAAAATTTCCAATCAGGCCCGAACGTACCTTGCCAGAGTGCTCAAACTGACAAGTCAGTGAGCTCTGCATAACGCAAACAGCAAAGGCCCCGCGCAAGAGTGCTCAACTGCTACAAGAGCAGGAGCGAAATACTCAATCTGCGGACAGAACTGTTTCGTCCTTTGTGGACTCGTCAGCGCAGCACAGAGGAAATGAGGCCGAACCTGATAGCAATGGAAATAAACATTTCCAATCAGGCCCGAACGTACCTTGCCAGAGTGCTCAAACTGACAAGTCAGTGAGCTCCGCATAACGCAAACAGCAAAGGCACTACCCCACGCAAGAGTGCTCAACTGCTACAAGAGCAGGAGCGAAATACTCAATCTGCGGGTTATGACAAACTGTCCACCAACGTAACCAGATCTTATACAGTCAGCGAGTGCGACAGTATGGCACAAAACTGACAAGGAGTACTGAGACATTCGCCGACCTGACTACTAGCTCCAACACGTCTCCAAGGCGCAAACCAATAACGTTCCAACTTGGAAGGCTCAAGTTGGGAAAGGTCCAAGAGGGGAAGGAAAGCGCAACTGCTTGCCCTCTTGGACCTTTCCGAACCTGAGCTTTCCAAGTTGGAAGGCTGTTGATTTGCGCCTTGAAGAAGTGTTGGAGCTAGTAGTCAGGTCGCCGAATGTCTCAGTACTCCTTGTCAGTTTTGTGCCATTTTGTCGCACTCGCTGACCGTATAAGATATGGTTACGTTGGTGGACAGTTTGTCTTAACTCTAACATTTTGTTCTTTTCCTTTTTTCATTAAAATTAATTAGAATAATATTTTCGGTGAATGTGTACTCACGTCATTGAGTTCATTGAGTTGGTTGATTTCTATAGCGCCTTCTAGTACTACAGCCGGTTCAATGCCTCTGTGCAATTGGCACAGACCAGTACAAATTCACTATCCACGTTGCAAGTACACTGGTTCTATACAGAACCCGTACACCAAGTAGAAATACAAACAGTACTTTGAGTTCCTTTTTTCAAAATCCCTGACTCTGTACGACTTGTCGGCGGAGATCTAATTCTTGTAGCTGAGCTTGAGGACTAAAGAACAGCACGATCTTGCAGCTTCATAAGACGACCACTGCCGAGCATCAATGTTCATCGGACCATCCATAGCATGGATAAAATTAATGAAGTCGTCGACTGAATGACATTCAAGGCCATGGCGTTCATCGACACCTGAATGCTTTGTGGAGTTCTGCTGATTCATTCAGCGCACACTCCGCGAGTCGCCAAACCTCCAGGCTCCGGGCACATGTACATGACTGCACTTCACGTAGCGGGAACTACTGCAGCTGATTTACACCTGTGTGTATGCAAGCAAGACATGCCACATGCAAGCAGAGGAGCTGCTGATCGTCACAGTCCAGTCACTCTACATGGCGAGAACGAATAGTGCAGCACTGAACAGTCATAAGGAAACATCCTATTGTCTTATGCCCGGCTCACACTACACTTGTAGGCCGATTTTTCGGCCCAAGCTCCAACACCGACTCCGAGAATTGTTATGAAATCGAACGACTTTGCATTTGTCGGAGCGGTCCGTCGGAAACACGCAGCTGTTCACACGCACCGTGGAGAGCATTTTCTGTGGAAATGAGCGGAAATGAAAAATTTACACTAGCTACAAGGCTAAAGGCGTGAAACGTCTAGCCTGTAGTACCGATCCAGTGCAGCCAGCTCACCATCTGCACGAACACTCTCTGCAGTCATGATGAAAAGCCATCATATCAGTGATTGGTTGGAGGCTCAACCACTAAAAATAACTTAATTTATTGACCGACCTTTAGGCCGAATATAGACCAGTGGATACTTGGCCGAACACTCGTACGACAAGAAAATCGCTGAAGACTTGTTGAAAACTTGCACGACAACACCATCAACATAAGGCAATTTTCTCCACGATCTCGAGGAATTTTCGTACGAGTCCATGTCTGCCACAAGATCGGCCTAATGTGAACCAGGCATGGACTTGGTCCGGCTCATCGTCGCTTATCTCCCACGCACCTTTTGACAGGTAAAACCCAGTCCAATCACGATATCTAACTTACTTTTGCTTGGGAGGTTGTGATGGCAAGATCAAAGGAGGCACCAAAGAAAAATGATCGCGACTAGCGCTTTGAATCGCGATGTGTTCGACTTTTTTTGGGAAGAGGGATTCTGGCCATTCACTGTCTGTGTTGCAAAAAGCCAAGCGCAGCGACCCGAAGACCGGAACTGTGGTAGGGGCAACTGACATCCTGGAGAGGGTGACAGGCACGCGTGCACGGCAGAGGAGTATGAGCCGCATGAGCGTCATGCTGAAGAAGAAAGCCAAAAGGTGTTTTTGACGGGATGCGCCCGGCGGACGGTTAGCAGCAGCATTACAAGAGTCGTGGTCAGCGTATCCAGCGGAGCGTTTGACAGCTGTGTGGAGAGGCCTGTATCATGTGTATGCCTCGAAGGCTTTGTTGAACCACACTGAGGCGACACACAGGTCACAATGCCCACGGCCACGGTTCCTTCAAGCACCGAAGTGACAGCCACAACTGTTCCTTTCCCATTGCTGCCACACGACAGCCTGAGAAAGCAAGAGATACTCCAGTCTACGCCAGCAGCTAGACACCAGCAAATGTCAGCTCATGTAACGGCGCGGCAGCTCGAGTGATGCAGAGTTGAATGAACTCTGGACCTGTAAGAGTGTGAGTGCAAAAACGCGCTCCTTCGCGGATTTATTTCGTGCATTTTGCTTACCTTGCTTCCTTTCTTCGATTCGCTTCACCTGATTCCATTGTGGCGGAGAGAATTCTTGTATCATGCTTCCTCACTATGCCTAGTGGAAATTTCACAGAGCGGTAAAAAAACTCCTGTTCTTAGTGGCGATAGATAAGCGACAATTGCGATGAGCCGGACCAAGTACATGTATCTCTCCCTTGCATACTATACATATATTATGTATAAGCCTGGCTTGCCAAATCTCCAATTCTATGCTCACGTTGCCATAGCGACCAGAGCAGTGATGACACACGTTTTGCTTAGCTCCCAGAAAGAAAAGGTCGAAGACTGCAGAATTTCGTCATTTTTCAACTGGTCTATTGTATTCACGAAGTGAAAGAAGGGCTGTGTTCAATGCTGTTAGTGCCATTAACTGTTTTTCTCTCTCTCTCTCCCTCTCTCTCTCTCTCTCTCTCTCTCTCTCTCTCTCTTTCTCCTCATCCATTCCACCTCACCTTCTCTTGTCTTTATCGCACTAAATCACCCCCTTATTTTAGGCTATGGTGCGCAAGCTCACGTTAACGCCGAGACCATAGGTCGGTGTTGTGGGCTTGCCTCACCAGCACAGGCTTGCTTTGCAGCCCCTACTCTCCCTGCTGTTTTGTCATTGTATACTCTGTTGTCTTCTCCCCTTCTGACGAGTAGGTTGTGTAATTAATAATAAAAAAATAGTAGTCCTCTCGGTTGTGTACTGGGACGTGACACGGGCAGGAGAAAGCTGGAGTCCGGAAACATCAGCAGACAAGCGAAAATAGTGACCAACAAGTGCTGGAATCTTGGTTGGGACAAATGAGCCGTTCAGCATTTACCCCAATCTAGGGTAATGCCGATTGCTCTTTCCACTTCCTTTTAAAAGATTGATGTGATGCTTCCTGGCAGCTCTCCTACATTGTATTTCTCGTGACATTCACAACATTGTTGCTTCCAAACCATCTAATTCACAAGCCTGCGCTGAGGTAAACAATGTGAAGAAGAGGTTGGTGCGACTTCGGCGATTGTAGGGGAAGAGTGTGTTGCTCCCTACATGGGGGTGGATTGAGACAGCGGGGAAAAAACCTTGAATGAGGGAAACACTAGGTGTACATGTATGACCCCAAGTGACAGCATGGCAGCAGAAAAACAGGCACAACATATCTACAGCCAAGGAAGAAAGGAAATAAGATGCGTCGACATGACGGGTGGGAGATGGGGGACACTGGTGAGACTAAAAAAAACTGACCGAAACAGTCAGGCAAAAAGAACAGGAACAAAAGAAAAAAACATCAAACGCCATCTTCGCAAGAGAAAATTTCAATTCTTTTATTGTGCGAGAAATCATTTATCGCCTAACTCCCTCCTCTCGGCCGGTGAGAAATATAACGTCCTTTCTTTCGCACACGTAGTGGTACCCATTCAGTATAAGGATGCTGTTCTCTAAGAGGTCTTCTGGCCTGACACTGTCCGTGCAAAAGAGTGGCGTTTCAAGTCAGACAGCATTGCAAACTCCGCAGCAGCGCAATGAGTGAAGTCAGATCAAATCTGAATCCTCTTGCCCAACCCTTTGTGCCCCAAGCAAGTTCATCCCAACCTTCCCCTCATGGCATTACATCTTCTTCTTTATCTATTTGTTATAATAATATTTGTAGTTTGCGAAATAAGCTTTTCGTGTTGTCCAAGCTTGTCTGGGCTCAGCAGTATCAGAAATACCTCAATGTCTCCTCTTTCCAATATCGATCAGTTTGTTTTGTTCCTTGTACTCATTTTCCAATGTTACTGTATTAAGCCGGCTATTTTGCTTGCAGTTCCTCTTTCCCATCTCCTTCTCGGCAGAAACATCAATCAAGCTTTTCCATACTGCGTGCCTTTGCTTTCTGCTTTGCTTCTGCTCCTTGGAGGCCTTCCTGGTTCAGTGGTAGAGCTTCTCCTTGTCTTGCTGCTGAGGTCCAGGAGCAGAGAACTGGCTAGCACTGTACTACAGGACATCAGGTAATGTGCGCGCGACGCCATTGTTGAACACGGCAAGAGCAAGGCCTGCAGACGTCTCGACGGTAGCAGTATAGCAGTACTCCTTCGGACAGACGCTCCATAGAGTGCCACTGAAGCGCTGGTTGGTGTTTTGGGTGGCTCCACGTCCTGAACAGCCTTCGTCAGCATGTACACATGCTTGTACTGAATGTCCTCTCCAGCTTGCTACTGTCTCATCCAAACCACAAATCTTTGCCAGGTGGACAGAAGGTATGTCAAAACGTGCTATTACTCATAGGGTGGGGGGGGGCATGTTCAGAGTTGAGCACACTGTCTGCAGTGCCCTACGTCCACATCCAATCGGCTGCATAGCCAACACAGCGTATCTATTCACATCGTAAAACCTACTCTTATGCTAGTCCTTCTCTGCTAGGACTTTATCAGCATGCTAGCCAGATGTATCACAAGCAAGCTGATTATTCGGGGCTATAGCAACTCGTGAAACTTCACAAACAGTTAGCCTACCCGTTTTACACTTTGTACAAAACACAGGACACCAATATCCATCTTTTCAACGACGGCAACGTCACAAGTCTGCTTCCAGTTGTTCACGCGTCCACGTGACATCGCCAACATCGTCATCAGAGTCGCTACCAGAGCCAGAATGTAATGTGTAGCGCTTCAACTTCAGACAAGAGGAGTGTTCAGGAATTGCATGGTCCCCCAAATCAGTCATTGACAGCGTGTATAGTATAGTATTGCTTTTATTTTACATCGCAAGTGTCCTCCGCATAATAATATATTATTATTCCAACGAGGAAGTGTCAAGTTAGGCAAGCTGCGTGTGGTCCTCGTTGGAACAACCAACTTCATGACTAATACCGCCGAAGTCGCAACTTCTAAGTTAAAAAATTTTAAGTAAAGAAAATGGACCAAGGAACACACGGAAAGTTGGGTGTGGTCCTCGAAAGAATGCTCAATGGACCAAGGAACTACATGTTCAAGTTTCGTTATAATGTACATTAACACCACCAGTTACTTGACAATCCGCTCATGCAATAACATTGCACAAAACCGACCGAGAGTACTGACGTTCTACAACTAACTGGCTATTAATGAACTCCAGCACGTCTTTGGTGAGCACTCGAACAGCCTTCCCACTTGG